GCAGTACGAGAGGTCCTGGCCAAGGTCGGCTTCCACGGCGCCGACCGGCTCGGCCGTCTCAAGAGCAAAGGCTGGTCCGTGGCAGAATGGACATTCACCGCCGTCTGCAGCGACCCCCACACGCTGCCAGCAAGCTGGAACCCACGTGGGAGTGTTTGAGTCCCCGGCCGCCCTTTCCTGCCCTGGCCACGCAGGGTGCGGTTTGCCTTGGCAACCAGACAGGGGGCCATCTGTTCAGCGGGAGGAGGCCCTTGAAGCCACATTCCAAAATGGGAAAACCGTCTACCGGAGAACGCCGTGTTTCCTCCCCAAAATAAGGCAGGGTCTCTAATTTTTTTCCTCCAGAAGAACACCCCATGGCTTATTTCTTCACGGATGTGTTTTATTTATTTTTTAAGTACGCGTACAACCACTCTACATTGATTCAAATAGGGATTGAAGTCGTCTTCCTTTTCTGGAAACATCATCCTCAACTCTCCAGACCCCGAATCCCATCCTGAATGTCTCTTTGCGACTTCTGTTTCCTTTAGAGCCCACCGGCCCGATCTCTCCTGCTGGAGCACTAGAGCTCTTCACGGGGCGATGAGAAGGTGCTGTGTTCGTTTCCCGTTCCGCCGACGACCGCATGGGTTGTGCAGATGCGCTGGCGCAGCCACGCCGGCTCCACTAGGGCTGATTTTTCATAGCCACGCCCCGTCACCTGGCTGATTTTCATAGCCACCAACCCACCACTAGGACTGATTTCATAGCCAACCCACCACCAGGATGTATTGTTCATAGCCGACGGCCACACTAGGACTATTTTTCATGAGCCACGCCCCAACCACTTAGGGATGGATATTTCATAGCCACGCGTCCTCACTAGGACTCGATTTTCATAGCCACGGCCCACCACTAGGCCGATTTTCATAGGCCACACCCCCCACTTTAGGGCTTGATGTGATTTTCATAGCCGACGCCCCTTCACTAGGTCTGATTTTCATAGCCACCCACAACTAGGGCTGATTTTCATAGACGCCTCGGGCCATTCCACCAGGGCTGATTTTCGGCGGTAGGGCTTTCTATTTGCGCACGTGCTTAGCATCTGCCTGGCTGTATTTTGTGGCGGGTCTTATTTTGGGGGAACGACGGTAGCTAAACCACAGTGTTAGGCATTGCATAGGGAGGATTGCTTCTGATAATTCCCAATTCTCCTTGCATATAAATTATTAGAACCATCGTCTAAAAGAGCAAAGAGTTATTGACCCTCCATCACTTGTTGCTCTGATCAATTTTCCCGTGACTCACTTGAGGTCTTTTCCTCATATGCTTTGGTATTGTTGTACCCCAGAAAATTCGCTTCTGTTCAACCTGGGAGATGATGAACAGTGTTTAGGTTTTAATTTTTTGTTTTGCATTAAAAAAAAAAAATGGAGGGTGGTGGGGCCACACAAGTTTATAGAGAGGGGATTGACGAGGGTCCGTGTTCCTTCTCATTTTCGCTAATGCTTTCGGCCCGGTGGATTTTTCCATTTTTTCCAGGAAGCGGCTCCAATACATTGGGCCGGAGGAGTTATGTCCAGGCATTCCTGCAAAGGACCTTTTGGATAATGAACAAGGTAACTGGTCGTTACCCCTAGAGCTCAGCCCCGAAGCCAGAATAGAATCCCTTTGACCTTAGCTGGGACAGGTGGGATAAAAAGACAGCATGGAACTACTATTCTGTTTTAGCTGTTTTTTTAAATTTTTTTTATATTCTTTGGAGACAGAGTCTCCGCTCTGTCGCCCGGGCCGAGAGTGCCGTGGCGTTAGCCTGGCTTTCACGGCATACCTCCAAACTTCCTGGGGTCTGAAGCGATCCTCACTGCCCTGCAGCCTCTCCTCCTGAGTAAGGCTGGGACTACCAGGCATGCGCCACCATGCCCGGGCTAATTTTTTCTATGATATATTAGTTGGCCAAATTAATTTCATTCTATTTTTGTAGTAGACGGGGGGGGGGGGGTCTCGCTCTTGCTCAGGCTGGTCTCGAACTCCTAACCTTTGGGCAATCCTCCTGCCTCGGCCTCCGGAGTGCCAGGATTGCAGGCGTGAGCCACCACCGCCATCCTTGTTTTATTGTTTTAAACTCAGAAAAGTCAGCAACGTCTGACTCATTGCAACTTTTCTTGGGGTCTCCGAGCGCCTTCGCGATGTTCTCTCACCCCATCGCCAAGCCTCCTCTCCTCTGTCATGGGGGAAACTTTAATTAAGACCTGTCGAAAAGGTCGATCCAGGCAGTGGTGGTGACTGTTAAGGTAGGAGATAAAAGGATCACAGTCTTCTGGCAAGATTGTCAAGTCGGAGGGAAAAATAAAAGAGGGATGCTTTGCTCGCGATTCAAAAAATAGCAGAGGCAGGATGCACGTCCTCCAGGCCGGGCTGCTTGGCCTCTTTTTTAAGGCTCATCCCCCTGATGCATTTAGTGTCTGGGTGAAGCCTGCCCGTCAAGGCGTGGCACTGAGCCCGGACTGCAAAAGTCCGGGTGTACACATAAAAGAGACTTTTCCCCCAGTGACTCGGAGGCATTTCGACCCGTTAGGCAAAGCCCCCATCACCACGGCTGAACCGACAATAGGAGGCAACAAGCTGTTTGCCCTTAAAATAATCTCTCTGAGTACAGGAAGTGAAGAAGAATATGTTTTCCAGGAGTAAAGCTAGTGGGCTTTTTTGTTTGTTTGTTTGTTTCTCTTGGCCAAGGAAAGAAAAGACGGTGAAATTAGCCTCTTTAAGCTGGCCTTGAATTCCAAGATGAGATTAGCTTCTTTTTTTTTTTTTTTTTTTTTTTTGAGACAGAGGTCTCGCTCTGTCGCCCGGGCTATGAGCGAGTGCCGGGCGTCAGCCTTCGCTCACAGCAACCTCAGACTCCTGGGCTCAAGCGATCCTCCTGCCTCAGCGCCTCCCGAGTAGCTGGGACTACAGGCATCGTGCACACGCCCGGCTAATTTTTCTATATATATTTTTGTGTTGGTCAATTAATTTCTAATTTTTGGTAGAGATGGGTCTCCCTCTGGCTGGTTTTCGAACTCCTGACCTCCAGCGATTCCTCCCGCCTCGGCCTCCCAGAGTGCTGGGATGACAAGGCGTGAGCCGCAGCGCCCGGCCACTTCTTTTGCTTTTTGAACCATGTGTCACTCACCCTGCTTAAAGACCCAGGATGGTATTGATTGGCTTCCATTTCTCTACCTTGGAAAGTATTTAGTGTCCCGTGACATTAAGCTCCAAAGCTTTGCGTCCTACAACCTAACTGTAAGAGAAAGTTTCCTAACCCCCTACACTCTTAGCAGCCTCTCCTTGCCGAGTGGATAGTAATGGGTATTTGCAGCCCATTCATCAGTCAGGATTGTTCTAGAATATGCAGCTAACATCCCTTTGTTGAATTTTGCTTTCGAGTTTCCCGGGAACGGAGGGAAGGACACTTTTTACGGACGCGTCCGAGAGCAGTTCGAGACCTCAGGCGTTTCGCTGGACTATCCTAAGAGATTTTGATATTTATGTCAGGACAATCAAGAACATTGGGCCGGGTGCGGTGGCTCACGCCTGTCATCCTAGCGCTCTGGAGGCGAGGCGGGAGGATCGCTCGAGGTCAGGAGTTCGAGAGCCAGCCTGAGCAAGGCGAGACCCCGTCTCTACTAAAAATAGAAAGAAATTAATTGGCCAAATATATATATAGAAAAAATGGAGCCCGGGTGTGGTGGCGCATGCCTGTAGTCCCAGCTACTCTGGGAGGAGGCTGAGGCAAGGAGGATCGTTTGAGCCAGAGTTGGAGGTTGCGTGGTGAGCGAGGCTGACGCCACGGCACTCACTCTAAGCCTGGGCCCGCGGGGGCGCTCTGACATAGTGCAGAACTCTGTCTCAACTCAAAAAAAAAAAAAAGAAAAAAAAGAATGCTAGAGATCCATTCTCTGTCTGTCTGTCTCTCTCTCTTTTTGCACCCCAAAGATTTTCCAATCCGTAGACCTGACAGCAGAGGCCCACTTTAGGCGAAATGACATTGCAATAGGTTCTTTTTTTTGTTCCCCTCTGACTCACCTGTGTATCGA